TAGGGAGGCCAAGCCCATGAATGACACTCTTCAGGTCACTTGTTCTATCTAGGCTGGAATATTGCTGCACTCTAACATGCACCTTTCAAGGCAGGTGAAATTGCTGACCTAGAAAATGTACAGAGAACTTTCACGGCGCGCATAACGGAGATAAAACACCTCAATTACTGGGAGCGCTTGAGGTTTCTAAACCTGTATTCCCTGGAACGCAGGAGGGAGAGATACATGATTATATACACCTGGAAAATCCTAGAGGGACTAGTACCGAACTTGCACAACGAAAATCACTCACTACGAAGCAAAAGACTTGGCAGACGATGCACCATCCCCCCAATGAAAAGCAGGGTGTCACTAGCACGTTAAGAGACCATACAATAAGTGTCAGGGGCCCGAGACGTTCAACTGCCTCCCAGCACACATAAGGGGGATTACCAACAGACCCCTGGCAGTCTTCAAGCTGGCACTGGACAAGCACCTAAAGTCAGTTCCTGATCAGCCGGGCTGTGGCTCGTACGTTGGTTTGCGTGCAGCCAGCAGCAACAGCCTGGTTGATCAGGCGCTGATCCACCAGGAGGCCTGGTCACAGACCGGGCCGCGGGGGCGTTGACCCCCGAAACTCTCTCCAGGTCCAGGTAAACCCACCGGGAATCGAACCCGGGCCCTCCGTGTGTGAAGCGGGAGCTTTAGCCACCAGGCTTGCCTGAGCATATTAACCCTAATTGGGATATTTCTTTCAGTAACACGATCTCTGATGCTTGGGAATGATTTTCTATTTTTTAGCTAACATACGTGGAAATTTTACCTTTTTCCTAGTAATGGCCCTCGTATTGTAGATAGTCTTAATGGCCCTAGTGTCGTAGATAGTCTTAATGACCCTCGTGTTGTAGTCTTAATGGCCCTCGTATTGTAGATAGTCTTAATGGCCCTAGTGTTGTAGATAGTCTTAATGACCCTCGTGTTGTAGATAGTCTTAATGGCCCCCGTATTGTAGATAGTCTTAATGACCCTCGTGTTGTAGATAGTCTTAATGGCCCTCGTGTTGTAGATAGTCTTAATGGCCCTCGTATTGTAGATAGTCTTAATGACCCTCGTGTTGTAGATAGTCTTAATGGCCCTCATATTGTAGAAAGTCTTAATGACCCTCGTGTTGTAGATAGTCTTAATGGCCCTCGTGTTGTAGATAGTCTTAATGACCCTCGTGTTGTAGATAGTCTTAATGGCCCTCGTATTGTAGATAGTCTTAATGACCCTCGTGTTGTAGATAGTCTTAATGACCCTCGTGTTGTAGATAGTCTTAATGGCCCCGTATTGTAAGATAGTCTTAATAAACCCTCGTGTTGTAGAAGTCTTAATGGCCTCAATTGTAGATATTCTTAAGTGACCCTCGTGTTGTAGATAGTCTTAATGGCCCTCGTGTTGTAGATAGTCTTAATGACCCTCGTGTTGTAGATAGTCTTAATGGCCCTCGTATTGTAGATAGTCTTAATGACCCTCGTGTTGTAGATAGTCTTAATGGCCCTCGTGTTGTAGATAGTCTTAATGACCCTCGTGTTGTAGAGTCTTAATGACCCTCGTGTTGTAGATAGTCTTAATGACCCTCGTGTAGTAGATAGTCTTAATGACCCTCGTGTTTAGATAGTCTTAATGACCCTCGTGTTGTAGATAGTCTTAATGGCCCTCGTGTTGTAGATAGTCTTAATGGCCCTCATGTTGTAGATAGTCTTAATGACCCTCGTGTTGTAGATAGTCTTAATGACCCTCGTGTTGTAGATAGTCTTAATGACCCTCGTGTTGTAGATAGTCTTAATGACCCTCGTGTTGTAGATAGTCTTAATGACCCTCGTGTTGTAGATAGTCTTAATGGCCCTCGTGTTGTAGATAGTCTTAATGACCCTCGTGTTTTAGATAGTCTTAATGACCCTCGTGTTGTAGATAGTCTTAATGACCCTCGTGTTGTAGATAGTCTTAATGACCCTCGTGTTGTAGATAGTCTTAATGGCCCTCGTGTTGTAGATAGTCTTAATGACCCTCGTGTTGTAGATAGTCTTAATGACCCTCGTGTTGTAGATAGTCTTAATGACCCTCGTGTTGTAGATAGTCTTAATGGCCCTCGTGTTGTAGATAGTCTTAATGACCCTCGTGTTGTAGATAGTCTTAATGGCCCTCGTGTTTTAGATAGTCTTAATGACCCTCGTGTGTAGATAGTCTTAATGGCCCTCGTGTTGTTAGATAGTCTTAATGGCCTCGTGTTGTAGATAGTCTTAATGGCCCTCGTGTTTTAGATAGTCTTAATGGCCCTCGTGTTGTAGATAGTATTAATGGCCCTCGTGTTGTAGATAGTATTAATGGCCCTCGTGTTGTAGATAGTCCTTTTAGTATGATACCTCAGATGTTTAAATAACATATCTGCCCTTTATATCTATAATGACTCATAGTGTAAAAGGACCCAATGCCCGTTTGTAGATAAGTCATGGACTTTTTTGTCAATACCCACTGTTTAATTCTTAATACCCTCGTTAGAATCTTACACCCTCTAAGATAGTCCTACAGTAGACCTGTTTTAACTACGCTACAAGACGCTCTGTTTAAACGCTTACAAGGGCCCGGTTGCACATACGCTACAGACCCCGGTTGCAGTACTATGACTCGGTGTGTTGTCAGTACAGTCTACAAGACCCCGGTTTCAGTACACTCTCAAGAGTAGTCAATGACCCTACAGAGGGTTAGTACGCTACAAGACCGCGGTTGTGAGTATTCAATACAACTCGAGGTTTAGTATTCTATAATGAGGGTTCGTAGGCTAACTAGAGGGTTAGAACACTACAAGAAGGTTCAGTACGACTAGCAAAGGTTCGGTTTAGTACAAGCCCGGTTCAGTAAGCTACAAGAGGTTCAGTAACGCTACAATGGGCCCGTACCTACAAGAAGGTTCAGTAATGTCTACAAGAGCGGTTAGTACACTAAAGGTCTAAGCACCCTACAAGATGGTTTAATAGTCTTAAATGAGGGTTTTTAGTACACTACAAGAAGTGTTCAGTACGCTATAAGAGAGTTTAGTACACAACAAGAAGGTTCAGCAACGCTACAAGACTGGTTCAGTACGCTACAAGAGGCTCAGTAATGCAACTAAGAGGGTTCAGTACACTACAAGAAGGCCTCAGTATGCTACCAAGGTTTAGTAACAACAAGAAGTTTCAGCACGCTACAGAGGTTCATACTAACTAAGAGAGGATTCAGTACACTCAAGAAGTTTTCAGTACTCTAACAAGAGGGTTTCAGTATTCTAATAGAGGGTTCGGTAGGCTACAAGAGGGTTCAGTACACTACAAGAAGGTTCAGTACACTACAAGAAGGTTCGGTACGCTACAAGAAGGTTCAGCACGCTACAAGAGGGTTCAGTATGCTACAAGAGGGTTCAGTACACAACAAGAAGGTTCAGCACGCTACAAGAAGGTTCAGTACGCTACAAGAGGGTTCAGTACGCTACAAGAGGGTTCAGTACTCTACAAGAGGGTTCAGTATTCTATAAGAAGGTTCGGTAGGCTACAAGAGGGTTCAGTACACTACAAGAAGGTTCAGTACGCTACAAGAGGGTTCAGTACCCTACAAGAGTTTTCGATACACTACAAGAGGGTTCAGTACACTACAAGAAGGTTCAGTACGCTACAAGAGGGTTTAGTACACCAACAAGAGGGTTCAGTACACTACAAGAGGGTTCAGTACTCTACAAGAGGGTTCAGTACTCTACAAGAGGGTTCAGTATTCTACAAGAGGGTTCAGTAGGCTACAAGCGGGTTCAGTACACTACAAGAAGGTTCAGTACGCTACAAGAGGGTTCAGTACGCTACAAGAGGGTTCAGTACACTACAAGAAGGTTCAGTACACTACAAGAGGGTTCAGTTCTCCACAAGAGGGTTCAGTACGCTACAAGAGGGTTCAGTACAATACAAGAAGGTTCAGTACACTACAAGAGGGTTCAGTACTCTACAAGAGGGTTCAGTACACTACAAGAGGGTTCAGTACGCTACAAGAGGGTTCAGTACTCTACAAGAAGGTTCAGTACGCTACAAGAGGGTTCAGTACACTACAAGAAGGTTCAGTACGCTACAAGAGGGTTCAGTACTCTACAAGAGGGTTCAGTATTCTACAAGAGGGTTCAGTAGGCTACAAGAGGGTTCAGTACACTACAAGAAGGTTCAGTACGCTACAAGAGGGTTCAGTACGCTACAAGAGGGTTCAGTATTCTACAAGAGGGTTCAGTACGCTACAAGAGGGTTCAGTACAATACAAGAACTTCAGTACACTACAAGAGGGTTCAGTACTCTACAAGAGGGTTCAGTACACTACAAGAAGGTTCAGTACGCTACAAGAGGGTTCAATACTCTACAAGAGGGTTCAGTATTCTACAAGAGGGTTCAGTACGCTACAACAGGGTTCAGTACACTACAAGAAGGTTCAGTACGCTACAAGAGGGTGTCAGGGTAACTCTACAAGAGGGTTCAGTATCTACAAGAGGGTTCAGTAGGCTACAAGAGGGTTCAGTACACTACAAGAAGGTTCAGTACGCTACAAGAGGGTTCAGTACGCTACAAGAGGGTTCCGTATGCTACAAGAGGGTTCAGTACACTACAAGAAGGTTCAGTACGCTACAAGAGGGATCAGTACTACTTCCACAAGCAGAGGTTCAGTACGCTACAAGAGGGTTCAGTATTCTACAAGAGGGTTCAGTACGCTACAAGAGGGTTCAGTACACTACAAGAAGGTTCAGTACGCTACAAGAGGGTTCAGCACTCTACAAGAGGGTTCAGTACTCTACAAGAGGGTTCAGTACGCTACAAGAGGGTTCAGTACACTACAGGAAGGTTGAGTACGTTACAAGAGAGTTCAGTACGCTACAAGAGCATTCAATACACTACAAGAGGGTTCAATACTCTACAAAAGGGTTCAAAAAAGAATTCAGAAAACCTACAAAAGGGTTCAAAAAGCTACAAAAGGGTTCAGTACGGTACGAGGTGTCATAGTCTCTATATATAACAACACAACGCACCAGGATCACTTAGTAAATATTAAGTTAATTTACACATATTTACACTCGCCTATATGTAAGTAATTACCATTAATATTTGTGATGATACATAAGATATATATATATGTAAATTACCTTCCAGGATAACCCAAAAAAGGCCTCAAAATGTAATTTTTTTTCCATTAATGTAATTTTGTGCCCTGGAGTATACCTGGTCCAGGTCCCGGGCCAGGTTATGGGCCAGGCCATGGACCAGGCCATGAGCCAGGTTATGGGCCAGGCCATGGACCAGGCCATGGGCAAGGTTATGGGCCAGGCCATGGGCAAGGTTATGGTCCAGGCCATGGGCAAGGTTATGGACCAGGCCATGGGCAAGATTATGGGCCAGGCCATGGGCAAGGTTATGGGCCAGGCCATGGACCAGGCCATGGGCAAGGTTATGGCCAGGCCATGGACCAGGCAATGGGCAAGGTTATGGGCCAGGCCATGGGCAAGGTTATGGGCCAGGCCATGGGCCAGACCATGGGCAAGATTATGGGCCAGGCCATGGGCAAGGTTATGGGCCAGGCCATGGGCAAGGTTATGGGCCAGGCCATGGACCAGGCAATGGGCAAGGTTATGGGCCAGGCCATGGACCAGGCCTATGGGCAGGTTATGGGCCAGGCCATGGAGCCAGGCACATGGGCAAGGTTATGGGCCAGGCCATGGGCAAGGTTATGGGCCAGACCATGGGCAAGGTTATGGCCAGGCCATGGACCAGGCAATGGGCAAGGTTATGGGCCAGGCCATGGGCAAGGTTATGGGCCAGGCCATGGGCAAGGTTATGGGCCAGGCCATGGGCAAGGTTATGGGCCAGGCAGTGACCAGGCAGAAGTATGGGACCAGGCCTGCAATGGGCCAGGTCATGACCAGCCATGAAACCAGACCATGAACAGGTCATGAAGCCAGGCAAGGAACCAGGCCATGTACCAGGCCATGTACCAGGCCATGGAACCAGCCATGAGCAAGGCTATGGACCAGGCCATGAAGGCCATGAGCCATGGATCCAGGCCATGAACCAGACCATGGACCAGTATGAACCAGCCATGACCAGGCAATGGACCAGACCATGGACCAGGCAGCCAGCCTGGACCAGCCATGAACCAGGCCATGAACCAGACCATGAACCAGACCATGAACCAGACCATGAACCAGACCATGAACCAGACCATGAACCAAGTCTTGGGACATTCTCGTCTGTTGCAAATTTTTGGTAAAATCTTCCAGCCACAATAATAAAAAAATTTAAATTTTTGCCAATCTCTTTTCAGAACACTACATCGTTCCAAGAACTTGAGTCCAACTGACCCACCAGTGGAAAAGTAAAGCGGCTAAGGCAGAAATACCACACCAGTATAGCCAAAGAAGAGCGAAATGAGGTCGATAATGGAGGTTTTACAGCTCCTGGTCCTCTCCAGTTGGTACCCACAGTGAAGGACACCATACCTGGAGCTACCTCATCCAGGTACACTGTCTTATCTTAAGGGTGGCCTGTGGCCTGGTGGTTAAAGTTTTCGCCTCACACGGTGAGGATCCGGGTTTGATTCCCTGTGAGGGTAGATACATTGGGTGTGTTTCCTTATACCTGCTGTCACTGTTCACCATCAGTAAAATGGGTATCTGGGTGTTAGTGGACTGGTGTGGGTCACATCCTGGGTGTTAGTGGACTGGTGTGGGTCACATCCTGGGTGTTAGTGGACTGGTGTGGGTCCACATCCTGGGTGTTAGTGTGACTGGTGTGGGTCACATTCTGGGTGTTAGTGGACTGGTGTGGGTCACATCCTGGGTGTTAGTGGACTGGTGTGGGTCACATCCTGGGTGTTAGTGGACTGGTGTGGGTCACATCCTGGGTGTTAGTGGACTGGTGTGGGTCACATCCTGGGTGTTAGTGGACTGGTGTGGGTCACATCCTGGGTGTTAGCACCTTTCAAGGCAGGTGAAATTGCTGACCTAGAAAATGTACAGAGAACCTTCACGGCGCGCATAACGGAGATAAAACACCTCAATTACTGGGAGCGCTTGAGGTTCCTAAACCTGTATTCCCTGGAACGCAGGAGGGAGAGATACATGATTATATACACCTGGAAAATCCTAGAGGGACTAGTACCGAACTTGCACACGAAAATCACTCACTACGAAAGCAAAAGATGGCACGAGGGCACATCCCCCCAATGAAAAGCAGGGGTGGTCAACACGTTAAGAGACTCAATAACGTGTTCAGTGGCCGAGACTGTTCAACCTGCCCCAGCATCAAGAGGTGGATTACCAACAGACCTCCTGGCGTCTAAGCTGGACTGGAAACACCTAAGTGTATCCTGGTAGCGGCTGTGGTCCACCTGGTTTGCTGGATGCGGGAGCAGCAGTAACACCTGGTGATCTAGGCTACCTGATCACAGGAGCTGAATCACTGACTACGAGCAACTGGGCAGATGACCTCCCGGAACTGCACTACGGTATAAACTCATAACTAGGTGTGGGTCTCCTGAGACGTAACTCCCGAACCTAATTGGGGAAAGCTCAACATAACACGGACATCATTAGACTAGTCACTGAAGCACCTATCGGTCTGATACCTTGCTCATGTACTATCCTGACACGTGGTAGCAACTAACAGATTTATAGCATCTAATTCAGGAGGCCCGCTACTTACTCGCAACGGTTGCGGATTCCAATCAGACTGGTGTTTCAATCACGGACAAAAGCGACCTAATGTTCTGGTGTCAGCAGTCTTGCTCTTCATAAGAGTATGTGCAGTGATGTCAGCATCAGTACAGCTGTACATGAACTTGTATCACCTTGTACGTGTATCAGAACTCACAAGACGAATTCATATGTAGAAGTCCTCCTCTCTATCTAACAACTGGTGGTTCCATCCGGAATGCTTTGATAATGAAAGCAGCGGGACTTCTATGAGTGCAGTACTGTGGTCTCTTACTTGTGAGAGGTACATTCAATGACATCCGACTGTGAACTGAAGATTTATTGTTAAGTATATCAATATTACTAACGATTCAACCTCTCCTCTATTAAGCACAGTACTGGTGTTATCCGGAGCATCTTCTATGACGGACTTGAGCAGTTATCCGTCTTGACATGTGAAGATGGTACATTAGCGCTGGATAACAAGATATCTACAAAACTGAATTATCAATCCTCTCTTAGCTCCTCTTTGTATTCGACTGTAGTGTCCGAATCTTTGCTAATGAGGATTCTATGGATATGTGCTCTATCTTAAGTATATTAGAGCTACTTTCTTAAGAATACAACACTATAAACATTAAAATAATATCAGAAATGTTTAAATGGAGCAAAGGTGACATTAAAACAATGTCAAAGATGGTTGACACGAACTCACTACCATTATACATGACTCCATTAACGATATTATATTCATTCCAGAATAGTATTCAGGTGCCAGTACTACCGAATTTGTTCGTAAGAGAACATTGGTGAATTAACATGTCAATGTACCAATCCCATATACCTTACGTTATTATAATTCAGTCAGTATACGAATTTTAGGAAGTAATTAGATAGTCCATTTCAGACCCCCAAACATACACATACAAACACACTTACATAAATACACTTACATAATTGGTCGCATTGGGAGCTGATCATAAACCGGGGGTCCACTGTACTAGTATGCTCATTGCTTAGGAATGCAACTCTGTTGTTAAGTGAGGGGAGGCTGTACCTCGAGAATTATATAATCCCAAATTATTATTATTATTATGAAGTGTGTATATACATTATGGAAATAAGTAAAGATTTTTCTTTTTTATTTCCAGTGGCAGCAACATGTTTGCAGGTTTGCAGATCAAATTAGGAGAAGTTGAGAACACACCCACCTCTAGCAGTATAGATGTATCCGACGTTACGAGTACTGCTTCTTTTCGTAAGCAGAATAAATGTGGCACCAAGAAAGAGCGGAGACGGCAGAAGCATGAGGAATTTATGCAGCGTTAGTATTGTTCAAGCTGATTCATGAGCAAGAATTTTTGATTCTATATATATATATATATTTTTTCCAAGGAACTGGCTGTCTCCCACTGAGGCATTGTAACCTAAAAAAGGAAAAAGTTTCTCTTTTTAAATTTATTAATGTACACAGGAGAAGGGGTTACTAGCCCCTTCCTCCCAGCATTTTAGTTGCCTCTTACGACACACATGGCTTACGGGGGAAGGACTCAAACCCACTTCCCTATGTAACTGATTCTGTATTATTAACCCGAAATGCACTGTATGCTAGTGGCTTTTATGCCTAATAATGTGTACACTGCATAAAAGAAATTACAGTGGAACCTCAAATATCGAACTTTCTTTGGTCCAGAAGGCTGTTCGAGTGCCTTTATCGAATGAATTTATTCCCATCAGGAATAATGTAAATTAGATTAGTCCATTTCAGACCCTCAAAAATACACTTATAAAAGCGCTTACAAAAATACATTTACATAATTAGTCGTGTTGGGAGCAGTTCGATTTTTGAGGTTCCACTGTATTTGCATTTGTATTTAAAGTTCTGTCATCGAAATAATGGCGGGATTTGGATGTTTTTCTAGTATGTTATTGATTGGTTCTTATCGTGACTTTTGCCCTAACTTTCACAAGAGCTGTTATCCAACCTCAGCTCATTTCAAAGACCAGCTCTGTCTAAGGCATACTACCACCCCTAGGATGCCACCCATACCAGTCGACTAACAACCAGGTACGTACCTACTTACTGCTAGGTGAACGGGCAGAAGATGTAAGGAAGCCTAGCCAATGTTTCTACCCATACCGGGGATCTAACCCTGGACACTCAGTGAGCTCAGTGTGCTACCAACCGAGCCACAGAACATCCTAAGAATTTCTGAAAGTTCAAACAGCCATTATTCTTACTTAAAAACGATTGTGAATGACCTACTACCAGGTGCAGGACTACACTGCTTCACATCGCAACACCTCACTCACCTGAGAGCTATGATCTTATGATTTTAGCTAAGGGTGATGATGGTTGTTTTAAGGGCTAGCACTCTCAACTCACACATGATATCCGGGTTATGCCCCGGTATGGTGCAAACATTAGGTTGTGTTCCTTTTAACACTTGTTTGTCACTGTTCACCTAGCAGTAAAATTATGTACTGGTGTTGGTCACCTCCTGCTGTCACTGCTCACCTGCATTTAAGTAGGTACCTGGGTGTTAGTCACCTTACACCTGCTGTCATGTTCACACTCATTAGTATATGGGTATCTGGGTGTTAGTGGACTGGTGTGGGTCACATCCTGGGTGTTAGTGGACTGGTGTGGGTCACATCCTGGGTGTTAGTGGACTGGTGTGGGTCACATCCTGGGTGTTAGTGGACTGGTGTGGGTCACATCCTGGGAACAAAATTGACCTGTACACCTTGTACATGTAGAACTAAAGATACAACTTATGATGACATTTTGGCCCAACTTGAGCTATTTACACTTTGTAAATGGCCCAAGCCGGTCCATAACTTGTCGTAAATTATTCTCTCCTATGTGTAGGTTATTCGTGTATTGTTCCAGTTACTGTATTGTGACTTTTCGTTCTAAATGACTTCTAATGAACATATAATTGTGCTGTATTTGTATTACAAGTTGTACCAAACCTGGAACCACCTGAACTGTAACCAGCTGCCACACCCTTCAAGCCCAGTGTGGGTGGGGTTTGTGGCAGCCCAAGGTGCCTAGTTTCTCCCTCCGAGCCCCTGTGGGGGCAGGCGTGCAGAGGTCTGGTGATGCCGGGGGCCAACTCCTTGATTGTATGCCCCAAAGAACTCCTTGATTGTATGCCCCAAAAACTCCTTGATTGTATGCCCCAAAAACTCCTTGATTGTATGCCCCAAAGACTTGATTTTATGCCCCAAATCACTATCTTATTTCCCTCTCTAATTGGATGCCCTTCCCTATTCGGATGCCCAGGGCCACCGCCCCTTCAGACCCCCCCCCCTGCATGCCACTGAGGCCTGGGAGCAGCTGGTCCCATGACAGACATTGGTCTGAGACGCTCCAAGGTCGGGCCACCTCTTGGAAAAGGACCGGGCTGGGCGATTATACCTGGAGGGTATTTCGGGGATTCATGCCCCTGCAGCCCGCCACGACCAGGCCTCCCAGTGGATCAGTCCTGATCAACGAGGCTGTTACTCCTGGCCGCATGCAGTCCAACGTATGAACCACAGCTCGGCTGAGCTACAACAGAACAGCCAGGGAAACTTCTAACAGAAATCAACTGATCTAATGAGAATGAAAATTTGTATTTTTTTAGCAACAAATTTTAATCCTCATTAGATCAGTTGATTTCTGTTAGGTACTGAGAACATTTCTCATTTCCTAATTAGAAGATTTCTGTTAGGTTCTCAGAAGCAGATTTGTTAGGTTCTGAGAGCATTTCTCATTTCCTAAGAAGCAGATTTCTGTTAGGTACTGAGAAAATTTCTCATTTGCTTAGCAGTAGATTTTTGTTAGGTACTGAGGACATTTCTCATTAGTTAACTTGTCATTATTTTCAGAAATTGACTTCATCCAAGGTGCAGCGAGGGCAGAGAGAGAGCGCAAGAAGCGCGAAAAAACTGCTGTGGTAGGGGACATGCATCCCTTACTTAATGCTCTGCCATCACTGAAAGAACTCATGTCGGCTTCCAAAACAAAGACACAGCCTACAAAAGGAGTTAGTGGAAAAAAGAAAATGGAGATGCAAAAGGATTTGTGAGTAAATTTTTAATTTTGGTATTTTTACAGGTGGTCCTTGACTTATGGTGGAGTTGCAGTCTGATGATGCCATTGTTAGTCAAAAAATCGTAAGTCGAAAAAATCGTAAATAAAAAAAATTGTAATTCAGAAAAATCGTAAGTTAAAAAGATTGTGCTGAAAATATTGTAAATTGAATATAAATATGATATGCTGATTAAATAAGTAAAAAATAACTGTCACTAAATAAGTAAACAAACCAATAATTATTGTAACTAAATACAATCATGGAAAAGTGGCTAAAGTTCCCGCTTCACACACGGAGGGCCCGGGTTCGATTCCCGGCGGGTGGAAACATTTCGACACGTTTCCTTACACCTGTTGTCCTGTTCACCTAGCAGCAAATAGGTACCTGGGTGTTAGTGGACTGGTGTGGGTCGCATCCTGGGGGACAAGATTAAGGACCACAATGGAAATAAGTTAGACAGTCCTCGATGACGCACTGACTTTCTTGTGTTATCCTGGGTGGCTAACCCTCCGGGGTTAAAAATCCGAACAAAATCTTATCTTATCTTATCCAGAGTAACTGTTGCATCACCATCGTGAAGTTGAAATATTGCAAGTGAAGGAGCACCTGTCTGTGATTTCATTTGTTGGTATTCTCTCTCTTAGAAATGGTTATACAGTGGACCCCCAGTTTACGATATTATTTCATTCCAGAAGTATGTTCAGGTGCCAGTACTGAACGAATTTGTTCCCATAAGGAATATTGTGAATTAGATTAGTCAATTTCAGACCCCCAAACATACACGTACAAACGCACTTACATAAATACACTTACATAATTGGTCGCATTGGGAGCTGATCATAAAGCGGGGGTCCACTGTATTTTTAAATGTTTATACAGTAGTGTACTGTACACTGTAATAAACAGAATTGAGGAAATCAGCTTTAATATACATTATTTAGGTATAAATACTGGTCAGAGAGCCATCGTAAGTCCGAAGCGTTGGTAAACGAATACATCGCTAAGTGAGGAGAGGCTGTACAGTGGACCCCCGCTTTACAATCAGCTCCCAATGCGACCAATTATGTAAGTGTATTTATGTAAGTGCGTTTGTACGTGTATGTTTGGGGGTCTGAAATTGACTAATCTAATTCACAATATTCCTTATGGGAACAAATTCGTTCAGTACTGTCACCTGAACATGCTTCTGGAGTGAAATAATATCGTAAACTGGGGGTCCACTGTATTCCAGAAATGTTATAAATAATGTCATAGTGTGCCCTAAAGCGTTTTATTTTGGTTTATTTTCAGCATGTCTGATATACAGATGTTCATGGCTGTGCATCAAGACCCAATCTTCAAAAGTGACCCATTTGGGGCAGTGCGCAAGGCAGTGGAGAACCGGGTATTGTATGATAAAGAAGACTCCTGATGATATTTTTGAGAAAATACAAATTGAACCTTTTCTGGAATTGAATCTTTGCTAGAATAAATTGAATCTCTACTGGAATTGAACCACTACTGGAATAAATTGAACCTCCATAGCTAGCTGCTTTTGGCACTGAGCTGAGTTCTCAGAAGCGTATTATTGACGTTCCGTAAATTTTAAGATTTTTCAAGTGAACTGTGTTTGTGTGAACTATCATGTGAATTGTGTTTTCTATGGCGAATTAACAGTGTTCGTGGATATTTTTTTCAACATAAATACTGTACTAATTTTAAATGAGAAATAATTTTGTATCGGCGTTACATAAGATTACATTAAAAATTTATAAGTCTCTGCATTTTAATGCAGGATTTAAAAGTTTATTTATATAAATCTTGAGGTGCTGTGATCATGGGAAATAAAGTATATGTATTGTTAGTGATTTTGTGTCATTTAAACCTGCGGAAAATAAATTATAAGCTGTGACGACTACAGTAACTGTAGTTAATATAGCATAGTGTGTTGCAGCATGGTACCCATCAAGGGAGGTTCCTTGATGCTGGTGAGGGGCTCTTGATCCAGGGAATTGGATCTGTGATCCAGTTCTCTGAACTGAGCCTGAGTGCTGTATAATCCCTATGGGTTTAGAGCTCCCCCATGATGATAATACAGCATCATAGATTCGCAAGAACGCTGAACCTCAATTGTATTTTAGCTCATATGGGTTTAGAGCTTCAGTGTGATTTCCAAGGGGGGAGCGCTAAACCTGCACGGGTTATACACCTCCTTGGGGAATAGGAGGCACAGTTGATCCACGAAAAGGGATGGTAGCTCCAGTTACTTGTATCAAGAGACCTCCAATGACATCATAATAATAATAATAATATCTTTATTTACTACAAGTACATGTACAGGGAAACCGGTTATTTTCATATAGTCGGACTTGAGTCCTGGAAATGGGAAGTACAATGCCTGCACTTTAAAGGAGGGGTTTGGGATATTGGCAGTTTGGAGGGATATGTTGTGTATCTTTATACGTATATGCTTCTAAACTGTTGTATTCTGAGCACCTCTGCAAAAACAGTGATAATGTGTGAGTGTGGTGAAAGTGTTGAATGATGATGAAAGTATTTTCTTTTTGGGAATTTTTTTTCTTTTTTGGGTCACCCTGCCTCGGTGGGTCACCCTGCCTCAGTGGGTCACCCTGCCTCGGTGGGTCACCCTGCCTCGGTGGGTCACCCTGCCTCAGTGGGTCACCCTGCCTCGGTGGGAAACGGCCGACTTGTTGAAAAAAAAAAAAAAATATGTACAAGGTCTTCAGGCCTATCTAACATCAATAACATACTGCTATATAGAAAGCCGCTTGTTATGCTGAGCATTTCCCGCAGTTTTGTCCCAGAATGCGACCCACACCAGACAACTAACATCCAGGTACCCATTTTAAACTGATGAGTGAATAGGGACAGGGACAGCAGGTGTCTTATGGAAACACATGCCTAATGTTTTCCAGCCGTACCGGAGGAGATTCGAACTCTGGACCTCAGTGTGTGAGCTGAGTGCGCTAGCGATCGAGCTACGGGACACACAAAGGAATAATAATAAAAATAATGATAAAAATAAAACAAAATAATGATGAAAGTAAAAGTAATAATTAAAATAATGATTAATAGAGTAATGATAATGTAACTGGCATTATAATACATTTGTCAATAAACCACAACATCACTATCACTAATTATTATTGGAAAGCATTAAACATGTAGGGGCTGCACATTATTATAATCACAACTAAGCACTAAACCCACCAGGGTCATACAGCTCTGCGATAGACAGGACGGTCTAAGAGAATATGGAAAGTTGAAATTGGAACCTGATAATTCTCATAGAGTGGTACTGGGCAGCACCCCACAAGATACCCATGATGTGTGTATGCCCGATGCGAAGACAGGAGAGCGCCAAACCCATAAGGGTCATACAGCTACAATAATAATAATCTGGTAGTGTAGTATGGTTGTCAATAACCCACAACATCCTTGTTGCGGATTATTGTTATTACTGGGGAACACCCGAACACACTGTTCCTAGCTCCGACTAACCCATACGAAGTCTCCCTTATTATCAACGCACTAAAAAACAAGACAGGAGATTTAAATACCTTACCACCCTTTATATACAAAAAAGTGTCACAAGTACTATCACCAATCATTGCAACACTCTTTAACAAATCCATTGAATCCTCCACCTTCCCTACAGTTCTCAAAATAGCAAGGGTCACCCCGATCCATAAAGGAGGTGACCAAACAGAGTTGAATAACTATAGGCCAATATCCAATTTACACCCTCTCTCAAAAATCTTCGAAAAATTAATTCATAAACGAATCTACTCCTACCTTATCTCCCAAAACATACTCAACCCCTGCCAATTTGGATTTAGGCCTAATAAAAATACTAATGATGCTATTATACACATGCTAGAACATATATACACTGCAATAGAGAAAAAAGAAGTCCCACTGGGGATCTTCATTGACTTACGTAAAGCTTTTGATACAGTTGACCATGACTTGCTCCACATAAAATTGTCACACTATGGTATAAGAGGGCACTCCCTCAACTACCTGAAGTCTTACCTCAGCAACAGAAGCCAATATGTGTACGAAAATGGGGTAAACTCTTCCGCACAACCAATTACAGTTGGTGTCCCACAGGGAAGTGTCCCTGGCCCTCTTCTCTTTCTCCTATACATAAATGACCTACCAAATGCTTCGCAATTACTCAAACCCACACTATTTGCAGATGACACCACATACGTCTTCTCTCACCCGAGCCCAGTCACGCTAGCCAATACTGTAAATACCAAATTACAGAAAATATCTACCTGGATGAGGACTAACAAACTTACACTAAACATTGACAAAACCTACTTCATTCAGTTTGGTCACAGAGCTACAGATGTACCTCTTAACATAATGATAAACGGATCACCTATCACAAAGCTAACAGAGGGAAAATTCTTAGGAATCCACCTTGATAATAGACTCAAATTTCATACACATATACAAAAAATTTCTAAGAAAATTTCCAAGACCGTAGGTATATTATCGAAGATACGGTACTATGTTCCACAGTCAGCCCTCCTGGCCCTATATCACTCTCTTATTTACCCCTATCTCACCTATGGAATTTGTGCATGGGGCTCAACAACAATTAACCATCTCAGACCACTAATTACTCAATAAAAGGCTGCAGTCAGAATGATAACAAATTCCCACTACAGGCAGCACACTCCACCAATATTCAAAACTCTAAACCTACTCACCATACAAAACATCTGTTACAAAAAACATGATTCTAAAAGCTTAGAGATCTCCAGTGAATACTAGAAAGGACTGCCCTTCTAGCATCCAGCCTGTTACTGGGTTTTCGTAACAATTAGTCAGTATCCTTGTCCAATTATCCATTAGAATTCAGTATGATTCAATAGTGCTTCAGGATTACAACTGGTAGGCTACTAACTAGAGAAATTAAAATTTAATAAATTTATTAAGTTGTCTAGGCATATATCAAATTAAATTAATCACAGTAATCAAATAAATATTAATCACTTCTCTCGTGTACAGTATTATTGTGCTGAAAGCACATATCACATTTATATGTCTTAAGTACTGTCTGGTACATTAACATTTAATAAGATATTACAAATATGTACAAGTAAGTTTGTGTGTATGTGTGTAAGTGCTCTAAGTAGTTCGCTATGTCTCACGACTTGACTAGACTTAGACAAATGACTGACAAAGTCCTCAAATAAACTAACTTCTTGACCAACTGGCAATCAGAACAGTCTGCTTGAACAATAAAAAGAATGCTAAGCCCAATAGCAATATAACAAGCAACAGCGACACAATCAGGATCAAGGAGATAATATAACGACACTAAGTAGGGACCATCAGCAGATCCTCCACAAAAGTCACAAAACTCCCATACTACTGAATCTAAGTTCAGCATAAGACAATCCCCGACTGTGATAGTACACAGATACCAGTACAAGTTAGGTCAGAAGCTACAGCTCAGGACCTGAGTTGCTTAGAGTGTCTATGCGACACACAACCTCAGTACAACGTCGAAAATCACTAAATCTATACAATGTTCTGTGAACAGAGTCTCCAGAACTAACAACAATAATAAGACAAGAGACGATCTTCCAACAAGGGCCAATAAGGGAGATTTAGGCACTTCTTGTCTGGAATGAATCCAAACACCAAGCGAGTCTAGACCAGACTGAATACTTCAGGCGAGGTGAGAACACCCCCCCTCTATCACATGATAGCTCCATGGACAACTGCTGCTCAGTAACAACGAGAAGCCGGCAGAGTAACGAGCAAAGAGCGATAATTACAGTAGTTAGACAATCAAGACTTGAACTTTGAGCACATAATATATGTGTTACATCCTACCTAACAACATAACTAAGTCAAATAATAATATAAAGCAATATATTTACGATTTAGCTATTATCGCAAATATAAGCAATATAAATTATATGAAAAGGTAATATACATTATATATATAATCATATACATTGTAACCCATTCAAGGGTTGCAACAACATCCATACTTATTACTGCACCTATTACATACATAGAACACTTAACTCTGATATTAACTCTCTCCTCAAACGTCTCCTTGCCAACCTCAACAGAACACACGACCATAACACAAGGCACAGATCACTCTTTGATGTTCCTCGTGTCCATCTCACGCTATGCAAGAACTCAATGCACATAAAAGGCCCTAAAATCTGGAATTCATTACCTGTGAATATAAAAGAAACACTACCTGTTTATAAATTCAAGTCTCTTCTCAAAGATCACTTACTCACCCAAAACCAAATAAATACTGAATAACTGAACCTTATATATTGTATATCTTAAATGTTTCTCACAATTATATCACATAAATGTTAAACCTAAAACCCAATCTAACTTTATTATTTAAATACACTACCTAACAGAATACTCCATACGACTGAATGTACAGCAATGCATGCAACCATATGACCTGCCTTTGTAATACTCATTTGTGCTTTATTGTTCTGTTTACAATAATGTTTTATCACTGATTACATCATTGCTTAGTTTATCTTAAGTTAATTTTAAGCCAGCCCGTAATGCTATGCATACAAGTGGCTTTGGCATGCTGCTCTTACCTGTATTTTTTTGTACCTCTGTATGTATGTTCAAATTATTAAATAAATAAATAAATAATAAATAAATAAATAAAATAAATTAAACCTGTAGGGACTACACAGTGCCTGGGTAATGGAAGGCAATCAGGTCTGACCCCAGGGGCTCCTGATCTAAGGATCAGGAGCAACTGGGGAGCATCAAGGAATCTTACAGAGTCCCAAGACTTGGCCACAGGTAACTGACAAGCACACA